AATTCCTACAGGAAACCTCAGAAAACCAATAGATACGAGATAGACAGTCTTGAGAGTTTTACCGAATTTGGTTTCCTCTTGTGTAGATATTATCGCTAGATATACCTGCATGGGCCCATGGGGTACCTGAACGGTCTAAATCAAATCAAAATAAACTATACAGTACTCCTGATTTGGCGTCTTGAGGAGTCGAATAAGTTATTCGTTATGCGCACAAATATTAGAATAGATCGGAAGACGAGGCAACAGCCAAGATTGCTAAACATAGGCTGGTTGATGAGAACCACACGAAAGCTTGCTCGTATGTATTGTTGCGAGTAAGGGCTAAGTTTAGGTATACTCAGCCTCGCAATCTTACAAAGCTATTTTCGGCATATTACATTTTTAACTCGACATGATTCAATTAGACTGACCTAAAATTAGTTGGATGGTCAAGTCTTTTATTTTCCTTCTGATGATATTCATTTGTTTATATAGATCTGTAGTTCCGGGAAAGTAGAATCAAGTTGTTTTTACTGAGTTATCTTTATCTTCAATCTCAAATACACATCGTCTGCCACAGGTCAGACACCCAGATACCTGACATGAGGCCCATGCAGGTATTAATGGGAAGATATGTACTTTAAGTAGGACGACTCAATTTGACATTTAGAACACTCACACTCAGATTTTATTTGCAAATACCACTCGAGGTTAAACCTTACGGCCTATAACCTCTTCCGTGCATACCCACCACGGGGAAAAGCGTGAAAAACCTGTGGCTATCCGAGTGTGCTATCATCATCCCACAACCACAATATCACCACGATAGAGAATAGAGTAAGGGCTTTCCTGGGTTCAAACCAGTTTTTTCCTGTTTCAAATGGGGTAGGTGTTCAAGCCACCCATTAACTATTTGGGAGAGCGGTCCGAATGGTGTACCACTGCACCATCCGACACTTTACTTAGTTGGAAGATGCAGTCTTAGTTCTGTAGTTTTGCAATCTGTATTATCAGTCCACAAGCTATACTTATCCTCGTTCGCTCTGATATACCTTCGTGCACCATCGGCCCGCTCCTAATTCCGAAGACGGCTATCTCTTCGCTCACCAGCCGTAACTGCGGGAGACGACAACGACAAACAGCTCTGACGGTAGAGAAGCGCAGGCAGCTTCAAAGGATAAATACCTTGTAATTTTGGGGAACCCTATGAAAAAGCTTAGACTCATTGTGATAGGGGAAGTGGAGGAGAATTCTCCAGTCATGGAGGAGGTCAACGAAGCCGTGAATGCTTATGATATTTACAAAAAGGCCTACACAGCGATATCCCGCAACACGTCCCCCATCGAGGAGAAGATAATGGCAACAGAGGAGGTTGTCTGAATAGTCTTGTGAATCCCGCCCAAAAGGCACTTCCGCCAACGTGTTTTGGCTCATCGGCCCCAAGAACACATATAGCTGTCGTGGCACCGCTGATGGCTAAACCTATAGTCTCATAAGAATCGATGGAGCGAAAAACTTACAGCCGAAGAAGCTGCTTTCAAAGGCAAGGGAACATAGAATGGGTGATTATGCTCTGCGCCAAACGCGAAGTAACGATACCAAGGTCCTTGTTCAGTCGGTGTCCCAGAAAAATACGGTAGTTAAGATGGCGCCACCCACTTACATCAAAATCTCAGGCAAGATTTTACCACGGAAGAAACCGGTGTCCCTCTGCGGGCAAGAATGTAAGGGTTAGGGGTGCCAACAACTACGCCATTGTCAAGGAGATCAACACGGCAACTGGGAATCGAGTTTCCAGTCTTGTTATCAATAGAATATGATGGCTTTGTGATGGAAAGAAGCATCAACGATCCGAGAAAAACAGCTACAATCGTGGTCAGCCTTCTATCAGAGGCAATGCAAACGCAAGTGGCTCTATTAGGCTATGTGGTTGGTGCCATACTCTCTACTTGTAGGTATAGTCATCGTGTAACAGCCAAAGCAATGCTCCAACTGTAGTTAGTGTGGACACAGGCAGACACCGTGTAGAAGGCAGCTAGCTGGGCCAGCCAGATATACAAGGGAAATGTGCAGTTGTTTGAATGGAGCTTCGGCCTCGTACAACGGCCATACAGATACAAAACCAGCCGTGGCAATTTCATGAACAGCTGGAACAGCTGATGATCAGGGTTGGAGCCGGGATATCCTCGAAAGGAAGTCGTGGCCCCAGCCGCAACATCAAGTGCATAGGTTGAAGTACAACCATCCGGATCATCTCTATGATCACTTGAACAACCTACGCCGAACTAGGAGGCGACTCCCCTTAACTTTTACTGAGCTCAGTCTTATTGATGGGAAAGTTGACAGGATCTGCGGAATGAACTACGAATCAATGGCTGAAAGTAGTATCCTCGGCACCAAGCTGGATCGTGTCATCGAGGCGAGATGTCGGATTATTCCCTGCAAAATATGGCCGTCCGTCTGAACTGACCTGGAATTATGACTAAATAGGACAGAAACTAGGAGTACAAATAAATATATCTGTAAATAAATTACATTATTGTCCATTCTGAGTCTACGACTATGTAGGACATGTAGATCCTCTCTATCTATAGGCCAACGATACCAGCTAGTAGTATATCCCCTCCGATGCCTCCCACACAGCTCCCCTCAAAAAATACTACCCCCCACAAGTCCTCATCTGATCATAAACTTAGAGGTGCCCTTTGCCCCTCATTATCTCCTCTCTCCAGCCAACGGAAGCATAGCCAATTTTGGGTGTATGGTAGCCGGGAAATATCACAAAACTATTGGACGCGGCGCTCTCCCAATGCCGACACCAGGACTATCTGCGCAGGGGAAGTTAGCTGTCAAGGCTCTTCCATGGTTGATTTTCGCCCACACCTTGATCGATGCACGAGCCAGCGGGCAATCTCAGCACATTCTGGAAATCCACAATCAGTGCAGTTGGGTAGCCTCCGATGCATTCCTGCGCAGCCGATGAATCAATCGGCGTGCGCCTGGTCAGACAATGCTTCTCATCGGCTTTCGTGCCGCGTCGAGACAGTTCTGTTGTCGGGCGAAGCGCCTCCCTTCTACCCACACCGCAGCGCTTTGGATTTCCTACTATCGGCTTCCACACACCCAGGCCTCCGGAATCCCTCTACCTTCGTCGCAGTGTTCTTGGGACCTAATATTTCCTTGTCGCGCCCATAGCTCGTCTTCGTCCTTGCGACCCTAAACCCTCCCTAGACGTCCAATTCCCCTCATATACTCTCAGTCTATTCGTGCATGTTTCCCATGACCTGCCCCTTTAGGTTCCGACCAATAATTAGGGCTCGACCCTGAAGACCATCTGGAACGAAGATATGATATAGATGTTAGAAAACATGCCCATCAAATAAGTAGCCTCTCATAGTCTGAGATTCAGTAGAGACTTCAATTCAAATTATTCTATTACTCTTAGATTAATAAGTGTCTGGCAGTATTTCACCCACTCTACCATTTGATCTATCAACTCAAGTCCTAATCCCTCTAAAGTGATATGTCGCATGAGTCTAACAACTCTTATTGCACTTCCCAAACAACTCTGTCACTTTTACATTACCATGTCCCTCGTACCTTTATTTGAGAATAAGTTTAGAGAATACTTAGAAACAGCATGAATAAATTTAGATAATATGAATTAATCTTTCTTTAATCAATAGAAATTGATATCTGTATGAACTCATTTACTACTAGCAATTGTGATTAGGAGGAGAGGGATTGTAAACTATCAGTAGCTTTCAGACTTTAATGCGCTCGTCACTGTTATGGAGAGGACGATGATATATTTTCGCTTTATTAGACTCGTTATATCGGTGGTTGTATCCGAACATAGGAGAATACCCATGTTTATACCTATAACTTATCTACCTGCTCGCAGAATATTCCGTGCTAAGATGTAGAATATCCTATATTCTTGTCCATCTTATCCAAATAAAATTGTCTATGATATTATGAAACCAACCACATCTTGTACAATTCTCTATGTCATCTATCACAGCTTATCTGATTGGCCAAGAAAGTTCATATAATAACACTAGCTCATCTTGGGTATACCAATATTATTTAGCTTTCATACGTTTCGTAATTGTCAAGATTAGCCCAAGGACTCTATTGTTTGAGTAAATCCAAGCCATAAACCCTTACGAGACCTGTGTTTCCCGAAGCTAATTCTGACGGGATTTAGCCCAGACGTGTATCAACTTTGTGTTGAGTGGAGGCTTAATTATCTCCAAGTATCGAAGCTCCGAAATAATTGAAACCATGACATATGTTATGTATCCGTAATTAATGAGATAATGTATAGACAGGCCGCAGGTCCATAGAAGAGGGCGAAGATTAGGAGGAAAGTGGCATGTCAAAATACAGACCCTAGACGATCCAAGGTCTATCTGTAGGTTCTGTGTAATCCGTAATAAGATTTCGTACAACTAATTTTTTTGTGGCGAGTACTCTGTATTTAAAATTTCAACTAAATTTTAAGGTGAAATTTCCTAAAACCATCAATTCGAGTTGAAACCGCTCCGGTTATCAACTATATCTCGGCTAGGCGGAATATTTGCACTTCAATGTTGGTAGTGGACATCCCTTCAAGGAGCTCCGACCTTATTTTTCCTTCCTAATATTATGAGAATGAAGGTGATAAGTAAATGTACATGGAAAGGCTGAAATCTGTATATCCTGCCTACTTTGGATTGTTATAGGTCTGAAATATTTGTTTAATATTGATAAAATCATCATGGCGTCCACATAAAGCTAATATTTATAATCAAATTTTTCCAATACGGGCACCCGCTTTTAATTTATTTTCTGGCGAGTAGAAGTAAGATGGAGTCTGGAGATGGTGTTTCATATTCATAATTATTTGACAGAATATCTCTCGTAAGCTAGATCTACTTGGTCTTAATCGCTTTATGATAATATGGATGAATTTGAATTATTTCTGTGCATCAGATCTATTAGACTTATATATTAACCAAAATTTCAGCCCTTGGTCACACTTTTTGTTTCTTATGATCAGTCTCAAATGGTTCACTCATTGTCTTACTAGGCAGAGCGATAGAGGCTTTCTCTGCACTAATATTCATAAACTTGAAATTTACAAGTTCTGGGACTGCTAGGATACCATCTAGATCCTGGAGAGTATGTCGGATGTAGCTCACGATTTGAGCTAAATGTCGTATGTCTACTTCGCTGTTAGCCTGAAATATATTTCTCCATATTGCACCAGCTAGCACAGCATCCCCCCGAACTAAACCCTCATCATACGCCGCGATGAGACCTCTCCATTGTACATATAAATCCTTCAGATATTTTGCTCTAACACTACCTGAAGTCATCTCATGATTTATGACCATTCCATCCTCGGCGGCAAAGAAGAACTGGTCTTGCAGGTTTTTTTGCCATAGTTGAACGAGATGAGGACTCATATTTCGGATGCGTACAACTAGAAGGTACATGTGTAGCATTGTTACTTGGGACCAAGTACTAAATGTTACCGGGAGGTCAAATTCTGTTTGAAAATTTAGCTGAAGAATTTGTGTGCGTATATTTTATTTTACCCTGGTACCATTGGGCATCAACTTCACGAACACCAATCTCCTCACCGTTTTCAGTGGTCGGCATCTCCTCAGTAGCCCCAGCTTTGGGCATTTTGTATGCGGCATGCCTAGCACATTCCTTGAATATTATTTCCGCAGCTCCATACACCGAGTATGTGGTCGAAGCACTTCCGAGAGCTTTCCGTAACGACTTAATAGCAAGTCCAGGCTCTCCGGCAGGCTTCTTGCTCGAACCATTGTCTTGAACGCTACTAACTTGCGAATTCTTAGGAGTACTCGGTAACGGGAGGCCCGAATATTTAGCAATCTGGGTCCATGTCTGGAAAATTGGTGCGCGTCGCCCCTACATTCGGTCAATACTATACAGCATGATAGATCTAGTGCGCGTACGAATAAGGCAAGGTTTGTTGTCGACCTTGCAATACACCTAACACATGGGTATCTGCTAATCAGAACCATTGCAATTCGATGAGGAAGATTGTTTAATCGTCTCTTGAATACGAATTTTGGTCCAGGTCGTCTGCTATGAGTTGGTTCGTTCCCTGTAGACCCGGTCTGGAAATGATTAGCCCTCTACGGAAACTTTGAAAGTACAATTGGTCCTAAAAGCGATGATTTTTGAATGTAAGCCTCTTGTAACTGAAGTCTATGACGTCAAATATGTATTGCAAAGTATGATTCTGATAGAGCAGGTAAGCCTGACTAGCGATTTCACAACACACCTTCAGCCTTGCATAAGCAGGTGACAGTCGAGGAGATTGCTTCGTTCGGAGAACCTCCCGCCCTTGCTAGAGCTGATAATCTGCGACACGCTGGTATATATCCACAAATGCCCACAACCCAAGATTACATGCCGGCTAAGAAGAATTTTACACCTTCCAGCGGTGCCGGTTTAACCGCCTGATATGCCCTGTGTATCTGGGATAGTCAAGAAGAATTGCACCTGAACTGAAACCGAAAGCGAAAATAAATATCTCTAGAATCGACGACTTCTCACCCATGTCGGCCTCATCTTTCTCATGCGAGTCCTCTAATTCGATTTTACCACAAACCATCTCACCTCGACGATCGATGAAGGAGCTGCCACAATTATAAACCGGTACATCCCTCATTAATAACGGGCCATCTCTCACTACAAAATTGCAATGTTAAATATAACTTTATAGAGGAAATCAAGTCATAATATACAAATCTCGGGTCTTCGATTACAGGTTACAGTAGCTCCAATTGGGACTTCGAAATTTGACGAATGAAAGGAAGCTAGGATATAGGAAGAGGAAGAGAAAAAGTCCCTGATGGTAATGCTGAGGCTTCTATCTTCAGAGGGATTTTCAATATTGTGATGTTCGTGGGCACAAACGCTACGATTTCGGATTGTGCTACCGACACTCTCAAAATAGCACGCATCACGTTTATTTCGGTAGATGGAGGTGTGAGAAAATAACACTGGTTAGTATGGCAATGGTTGGCGCAAGAAAAGGGGTTGCCATGGAAATTGATCTCTTGGTGTACAACATCGCGGGATTCAGGCGAAGCGCAAGGCATCGGCCTAGAAATTTTGTTTTTCATGTTTATTCCTAATTCTTTTGAGTTGATCATCCTTGTAATATAGAGTCTTTCGAGAACTACTACTCATGTCACGCCAAACTATATGCAAGGCATTATGAATTGCATGTAAAAAACAATCAATCATTTAATGCCAAAGTTACTTGAAATCACCCATCAAACAAAAATTGAAACAGAAAATAGAGGAGAAGCTAGGAATTTTAAAACATCAAACCTTTGAAATCAGTCTGAACGACTCTGAGGATATGTCCTAAACTACGAGGTTTATTCCGTGCAATCTATAGGAGTTGTAATAGAAAGTTAAACTTGAAAGAAATTTTCGGGACTGAATAAATAAAAGAGAAAAGGGGTTTATGAGAGAATTACAATAGAATAAATTGATATTAAATTCAATGTTACGGCATCAGGACACTAAAATTTTGGAGATTGTAACTACAGAAGTTTTTGGTACGCGTATTCACCAAATAATTGCCAGCTGCAAGCCATCAACCATTCTTGTTATTCCGTATGGTATTCTCCTGGAAGCTATGGGGAAAATTTATAGCTGTATATCACATGATCTAACAATGTGACAAAGTGGACTATCGACAATTATCTGATGCTAGCAACCTTCCAAAATATCCAAAAAATATCCATTCATCACTAGCAGACCCGCGACACCCTCTACGGCGACGCTATACTCCTCTAGGCATGTTGTGGACATGAAAAGGAACACTGTCAAACTCGAGGGTGCCAAAGGTAGCGTTGTGAGGGTTACTGAGTGACTTGAGTAAAATCTTAAGAGGTTGGTAAGGGTCAAAGGTGAGAATTCGTGATTGTAACTAAAGCTAAGGATGAGGGACGAGGTAAATTAGGAAAGGAGAGAAGGCCTATGGAAGATGCAAGACAAGACGTGGCCCTCTACATCAGCTGTGTCCAATCACATATACATCATGGTAACCAGAGTAACCTAGACCTCATAGGGTACACCTTTTACCACTCAAATACTGTATTCGTAACCCAGTGACCGTTTCTATCCTCAGTTTTTGACAAACACCTCCCGAACCTTCTACTGATACAATAGCACCTCCTTGGAACACTGTCAGGTTAGTGGTTAACTGTCAAACAGATTACCCTAAATTTAAATGTTGTCTCATGATGTTTAAGTTGGGTAGTTTACAAGCAAGTTCACGGGGCTGATGCATCAAGAGCAATAACTTAGTCATGCAAATGTTACAACTAGCGACTAGATGGATGGCCAATTTCCTGCGCACAAATCTCTTGTTGTTTCAATCCTTCTATTGCCCATGATAATGTAACCGCCAATTTTAGAACCATGTAGGGAACGGAGATTTGAGCAGTTCGCATGGGCAATCTAATAATCAGTCTATATTTGGAATTAGTAAGATACTCAAGATGTATACAGTACCTAGATAGATTCCTCATGGCAGAGGAAAGTCAATTCAATCAACTCTGAGAGAGATTCATATTAGTATAACCTCGCTTAACATTAACTCAGTAGGCAGCAGAGGAGGTCGTAAATTTTGAAGGCAACTAAACTGTTCTAAGATGAGAATAAAAGTTATAAAGGCGTATGAAAAGGGATGCCTAAAGATTTTCTAAAAAGTATCTAGAGGGCGCGAAAAGGTTATCTGAAGGTTGTATTTGTCATGAGTAACTAAACGTAAAAGGCTCTATCTACAGAGATTCTACCCATTTATACATGCATTTTCTTCCTTCGCAACTCACCCTTTTGTGGTCTTCATCTTACCTTGAGTACAAAAATGAAAGACCATAACAGCCATTGATAGAGATTATCAAACGATATAAAATAAAGACGTGAAACTATTCAGGCCAAAACCTCACGAACATCAATCGTGAAATATTTCTACAGAATTCCGGGCCAAAGACAGAAGAGATGACCTCGAAGAACTGACTAGATGGCAAGCATCTGAGTCCCCTTTGGATCTGCAATTTTCTCTGGTGTTGCCCTAATGGAGGGCAGAGCTGGGTCCGGATATGCCATCAACCGAAGCCTTGCACAGATGACTGGGTACTCTTCCGCTAAGAGCATCTACCGATGTGTACGATGCAGAAATAGACGGGGCCTATTATCTGCTTTGCACAATACGATGGCCTGATTTGCCACTAACGTTAGGGTATACTTAGAAAACCAGGAAGCCGCCTTTCGTCTCCTAGTAGGAATTCTCGTCCCAATAAAGTCTCTCGGCATCTCTAGGTTCCGAGAGCGTAGCTTTTATTCCAAGATAGGTGCAGTCAAAGAATGATGGTGTCCAGATGACGTCGGCATACCTAGCAATGAAATCGCTGACACCCTGGCTAAACAAGCACGTGCAACTTATGCGCCTCTCCTATCTCCATCCATCTTCACAAGAGGGCTTTTACACCACGACACAAAGCCTTTTTTTTTTTTTTTTTTTATATCATTGAGTGTATGCAGCCTAACTAGCTATGACATTTACAAGTGTGGGGACCTCAATCGCCACACTCTTGGTCGCCTTCTAGCAGGCCGTTTAGGTCACGTTGAGTTGTCTGACTACCACTGCGTCTTTCACCACTCAGACACTATTCTGACCTGCGGTTTTGGGTAAGAGAAGGCTTTCAGTCATTTCTTTTTTTTTCTTTGACCTGGTCGGAGTTTATCTCGCCCCCCGCGCAGGCACTAAACATTCAATGCCGGGAAGTCCCTGGATTCTAGCCTCTCCTGAAGGAGTCACAGCTTTTACTAAATGGCTTAGTGATACCTGCTTTTTTGAAGCAATACAATAATGAAACTATCTAGCATTCCAACCTTTCAATTCTTGACTGGCCTTCGCTATTGTCAAGAGTAAGAGGGAGGATCGCACTCTGAGGATTCAACATTTCAAGAGTTGGACACAAAATAAGATTCAATATTTTCTAAAGATTTCCTTAGGATCCAAGATCATTAACATAACCACAGCTACTCCAAGCGCTCATTACATATTCCTCTCTGTTGTTTGAGAACTATCTAATGCGCCATTATCAGAATAGAATGGTTTAGAACAGAATAGGGTGGAACGGAAGGGAAAAGAATATCATAGTACAGAAAGAAGCAGAATAAAGCAGAATATTATAGAATATATCACAACACTATTTTGGGATGTACATGGGTCAGGTGAGAGATCACAATATGTTGATAGTTAGTCACGTGGACTGGTGTAGCTTGGCGTGTCGCCCTTATGGCTGACACGCCTGTATCTAAGAAGAAAAAGAACAATTACATCATCGAGAGACCCATTACGTACGCGTACACGTGTGTATTACCGATCGACAGAATAAAACATAAATATTCGGCCGTTGTTTCTATCTCTTCCGATGAGTCCCTCAGTCCGTGAGAGCTACGGTTCATATTGGACTAGGTAACGGATAAGTCTCCTCCTAATATCGATAAACATCTTCTGTACTGTACTGAAAAAGCGTTGGCATATCGGGTAGTTTATGTAGACCGGGGTGGCACGACTCTAAATAAAAAAACAACTTATACGATTGAGGAAAAATCATTCTCATTTTATGGAGAAATGAATGCAATCTTCACTAAAAAGACGCCAGAGATGTAGCGGGTTACGTAATGTGGTTATGTAATTAGAACTAGTAGCTCGGTGGTCGTGTATATACGCGTCGTAGATAGAAAACAATAGAGTATTTGCGACCTCCCACAGCTCCGAACCTTAACGTAGTTCTACGCCTTGGTACATCAGGCATGTCCTACATATACAATCACTCCCTCCCTCATGCTCTTTGCTCAACCCAAATGTTTGCTTGTTTTATTAATTAATATTAAGGAAATAATGAGCCCTCAGTCATTGAGGTTGTAAAGCGCATTGATTCAAGTAACTACCGAAGTGAAACTAAGTACAGAATTTGCAGTCACG